CTGAGCGGGGGCAGTACCCAACCCAAACCTTAAACTCCAATATATATATATATACATATATACAGCTCTTAACATGACCCCTATTGTAGATTGTTGCTGGGTGGGGCCAGTACCCAAGGCTACGCTAAACCCTAAGTCCTCGGTTGAGGGCTTCAGGATCCAACAAATGGAGCCCAAAATGACCTAATCACTACCTAGGGGGGAGCCAAAATGATTGTAGGGTTTAGCAAATGAAAGGATTAGGGTGTGGCGTTCCGTTTCTAGATCTCTCAAAAGGCCCACGGCGTTGGGGTTTATTTGATTTTACTGATTGGGGGTGTCTGTCCGAGGGTTCAACTAGGATTTAGGGGTTGGGGGTCGGAGGCTTGCGGGTTTAGAAAAAACGTTGTCGTGATCATCTGGGAGATCTAGGTAAGGTCGTAGCCCCCTGAAAGGGATTTCCCCAAATAGCTCCAACAACCCTGAATATCGATCCTAGACTCTGCAAAGAGTTCACAAACAGTTCCCTGGACCGAGTCGCACATCCCTGGTCATTGCTGATAGCTTGTGGGACTAGGTTTGGGGCTTGAAGGTCTAGAGTTTTGGCCATTGAGCTCTGAAAGTTAGGGATAAGGTAAGGCTCAAGATTTACAGACTTAGGGTTCAAGATTTTCCGAAGGGGTTCTTACAGACTAGGCTTAGATTTTTAGGTTGTGGATGCAGTGTTATCAGTGGGTTCGAGTGAACCCTAAACCCTAAACCCACAACGTCCACAGCAGTTACTGTCAATGCTAGACTTGGGGCCATACTATCTCTGTACGTTGCCGTTCGAATCTGTATAATTGTCCCAATTCAAAGCCAAGGAAATGTGCCATATTCGGTAGCCTAAATCTCCGCACTATTTTCATCTAGCATCATAAGCCCCAGTCAATAGAGTACCGCATTTTCTATTTGATTGTCCATGTGTTTTCCCCAATGGATTCTCCATTAGGGTGTCACATGGGTTGCCCCCCCCCTTCCCCCCGCCAAAAAAAACGCCGTATCATTGACACACCGAAGACCCTTGAAGTGCAGTCGTCCGAGGTTTGGTGGAGGCTTTCAACCCAGCAATGGAGGCGCGATGTCCTGTTATGGTGGCTCTCAGTGGTGTTAAGGGGACGAGTTGCAAGGATGTTTCCTTGCTGGGGATTCCAGTGCTAGGACGTTCCTACAACTGGGTTTAGGGTTTAGGAATTAGCCTGTAACCCTTGATGTTGAAACTTGCTTCTTAAGGGGATGAACAGAAATTCAGTCTACAAAATGGTTATACACCCACCTTATGAACAAAGGAACTTCAAATCGGTCGCTACTATCGGGGCAGTAGTTTGTACGGTTCCTCTTAAACAGCTTTCACGTTTATGGATGGTCTTCCGTCGGGTTTAGCATTTATTGGGTAGTGCAAGGTTGAGAGGGACAGCATGGGTTGTTGTTGTATGTCCTTGCGTTAGCTAAGCAGCTGTGCTACATGGTAACCTGCTCGAAACATCCGTCAGAAAAAGGTTACGCAGGTGAGGCCTCGTTTCGCGTGCCATATGAGCCCAAGGCCTAAGTCACCACTTCTTGAGGCATGGCAGAGCACATGAGTCAAACAAGAACAGGATTTGCAGCAGTTATGCTTAAAGCTACAATTACCCAGAGACAGCAATCATATACCTTCCCTGAACCTGCACGGCAAGCACACATATTTGCAAACAAGATAAACGAAGCCAGTTTAATGCTGCGTCCCAATTAGCGCGTGCGTCCTCAACAAGACAAGCTTAGCAAAAGTTGCTCAGTGGTCAAGATTCCGTTCGGGAGCCTGATCATGTCCCCATGTAAATGTGTTGGGCGTTTGAGGGAAGCTCCAGTTCTAAAGCCCAAGCTCCACACGACAAACCCCAAATCTAATCATAGAAGCCCTCAAGCACAAGCCCAAAAAATCAAATTCTACCTGTAGCCCCATCCACCTACAGTTTCATGGGATGCCTACCAAGTAGGGGTCAATTGTATTATGTTGTAGGTGATTGGGGCCACAGCTGAACCCTGAAGCCCTAAAGCTCCAAATCGGGGGGGGCGAAGGAGGATTTTGTGGCGGGCCCGAAGGCAGAGCTCCCGAGCACTGTAGGGGCCAAGATAAGCTATAGTCTAAACTCCTTAAAGGGTGGTTATATAGGGAATTATGTATGGGACTACTATAGGGGTTGTCAAGGGGGATACTAGGAGTTTAGACTACAGCTCAGATGATGATTATGGGCTTTCCACTGCTTTAGCACTTTGTGTCTTCACATTAGGGGACCTGAAAATTACACTTTTCGTGGGAGATTAAAGTTGAATAGCAACAAAGCACTTGGACAGGGCATTGCGCAGGGATTATATTTGGAATAGAAGTAAACTGCGTTAATTATCCTGTTATCCTGTACGGATTAGGGGGGACTTGCTTGATATACAATTAAGTTATGATTTCGGCTCTACGGTCGATGTTATCTCGGTTCTGGTCTCCAGACACCGTAGCTGCTTTGGCCGGGGCTTGGAGGATTATAGCGAGGTTTTAACAAAGTGCGCAGAGCTGTGCGCTGAGGGGTTGCTCCACATTCTTCCCTGTGTCTAGAACTACCATTGGGCACCCATTTCCTTACTCAATGCGAGGCACCAGGTAGATACGTTGGCAACCTCCAATTCTACCCTCAGACTCTAAACCTCAACCCTGCACATCCTCTGCCTTGAGAAAACCCAAGCCAAAAATGCAAAACAATCAGCCCTCTGAATGTCAAGCTGTAAACACATCCTCCTATCCTTCATGTAAAAGCCTGAATAAATGCCACCGCTTTTCCTTTACATACCTACACAGTAATGTACCCCAAACATGTTCTACTTCAGTAGGCTTGCACATTGGTTTAGGGGCGCTCTGCTCCCTGTAAGAAGGCTACGCCTTCAGCGCGCCTCAAGGTGGCTATGCACCAGGCCACTTGCTCACATGAGGGTCGCTGAGGCGCACGGGTTCAGGCAGGAATTCTCCTGAGCAAAATTTTTTTGAAAAATAAAAGATCGAGAAGAAGTCCACACAAAATTCGTGAAGCAGCTGGAAAGCATTGACATGAAGGAGACTATCCCTAACACTTGTTAAGCACTTCTGCCAAGACTTGTCTTAGACTTGTTCCAAAACTTGTTATTGACTCAGTCCAAGACTTGTTCTTGACTCTGCCGCAAGTCCTGCTTTCCCAAAAGGACTTTACCAATGGCCTTTGTAGGCTTTATGTTGAGTTGGTAGTCTTATTTGCAAGAGCAGTGTTAAAGTATTAGGGATACCACAAGTTTGAGGGCTTGCGCTTGTTGACCCCACAGTATTCTAAGCCCACATCTCAAGCACGTGAGCACTTCTTGTGATGAGTTCAGAGCAGCTTGAACACTTCCTGCAGGAGCACTCCGGGGAAGAGTTACTACAGGGGCCAAAGTAATGACCACTATCAGCTTCAGCTTTATTTGAGGTACCCCATACGAGAAGTATACAAGGAATCTACGGTGGATACTAAATCTCCTGCATGACTTTAAGTACCTTGTACCTTGTGATTTATAGTGCCACAGTATAGTGAGCTCCTGCAGGATTTTGAGTATCAACAGTAGGACCATAATATTGGTATTTGTATGGTCTTCTGCAGTATACATGTGAGCAGTTTTTATGGTAGCTCAAGGAACCTCTCACGTGTTGTAAGAAGGGGCAGCCTGCCTACGATCCGCTGGTATCCCCGCTATCTGTTGCATAGCTCTTAACCCCAAACCCTGACGGGTTATGTAGGGCCATTTAGGGTTGTAGAGTGCGACATAGGGTTGATACGGGGTTAAACTGTCTGCTGCTGTCGGAACGAGTAAGGCTACGGCGTCCCTCCAGGCGGATATCCACAGCCAGGCAGGTCGCAGTTAGAATGGGGAGTACGGCTTTAGGGTAATCAGCTCAAGTTTATAAGGCAATCCCCCCCTCCTAATTTCCATTTGTTTACCTACTAAGAGAGCGTGCGTATGGGGGGGCATATGCAATACTAGGGGGAGAGAGGTGATTAGGACACGCTAGACTAAAGCACATGAAGGCTAGATAGGACTTTATAGGGACTTGTGCAGGACTCAACATTCGGTAGGAGCCTTTTATGTGCTTTCTTGCGAGTTCCTGGGGATAGTACAAAGATCCCAATGTCGAGTACACAATTGTTCCAGCATGCCTGTTTTTCTTGTGGGGCGTTCCTAAATATCTTCCAAATACCCATAGTAATGGTTTCTGACCTCAACGTAACGGATGTAAAGGCTATTTCGAGAACTTCGGAGGTCTAGGTTGCACCTGGCAGGAGCCATAATCTAAAATCCTTAGAGTGGGTTTTATGAGGGAATATATAGAGCAGTATTATAGGGTTTTTTTGGGGGGATGCTATGGAGGAGTTTAGACTATAGCTCACATGGTATCACCCTGAAACCTACCCTGCTCAGGCGACATCTCGTATGGAGGCGGCTTCGCCGCACCCCCTCCTCCACCTCAAGCTGCTGGAGCCGCCGGCTATGGCGGTTATCCAGCTGGATATGACATGTACCAGCAAGGCGAGAGAATACAAGCTGCACTGACTTATAGTCACCCTTTAAGCAGATAGAATTTTGGGTCTATGGGGATATTAATATATACCCAAAGCCATATTCTATCTACTTAAGGGGGACTGTAGGGTTGAGGGCTTAGGATCTAGCAGCACGCATGACTCATCCTGAACCTAAAGCGCTTTTCGAGTATGTGTGCAATCTTGTTGGCATGTTTATGGCGATTAAAAGAATGAGTGGCTTCCATGGGAGGCTACCAACCACCTCCTCCAGCAGCCAACTATGGCGGCAGCTACAGTAGCTTCGATGGAGGTCCAAGCTTCCCAAAATACCCTCAGACAGGGGCCCTGGAGTCTCCCTTGAATGCCTTTCTGAGGTTTCCTTAAATTAGGGATCTCTTTTTTGGACATGTGTATAATCAGGGTACGTACCTTTTTTGTGTCTGAAGAGTCTGCCTCTAGGTATAGAAACCCCAGGTCAGAGAAGGGAGTTTGATGGACGAGACCGGGACCCCGGAAGGGATGGCGGTCGCGACGGTGGCCGCGACGGCCGCGGATTCGATGGCAGGGGTCCTGATACTTGGCCACGCATGCTTAGACTTTAGAATGTTGTTGTTTACTACCTTTGTTCCCCATGTAGCATAGGATGTAGCAGTCCTCATGCAGGCCTGAAACGCTCCTGGTCAGTTTTTTTCGCAGGACAGGCCAGCGCCTTGACAACAATTCGCCAATGATACTCGGAGGGTCAAAGGCACGTCTTTCTGGCAATTACAGTCTGGGAGCCCACAGACCTTTCCAAACTCCCACAATACTGGCCCTTTTTGCCTTGAAAGAATGTGCTTAGTGGCTATCATATGTGTTTTTGGGGTGTCACGTAGGCGGGTCCGCAATTCTAAACAGGTTGACTCTACACACGAAGTATCACAAAACCCCTCACCTCCGAAACTCTGCTCATGGTGCCAAGGGCCTTCACCCATCTTGCTTGACGTTCATGGACCAAGAACTCCAAAAACATATGATCTCTCTCACTATCGGGTTCCTGGAAAAGGACCCGTGAGATTGAACAACCAGGTTTTCCAGCCGACCTCTCACCTATATCATTTCGTCCCTATGGGGTTTTACCGAATGTTAGCTTAGGGTAAATGTTAGCTTAGGGTAAAGGCTTCAGGGTTCAGGGTTGCGGGGTCGTGGGTTTCCTTTCAGGTTCCTTGATCCGGATTCACGTTACATGGGGGTGAAAAGAGTCCAGGGACATGCTCATGTGCAGTAGGATAGCAAGCAACAACGAGATTACCCTAAACCCTTTTTGACCACGTTGCATGCAGGATATCATATCGTCTCCACACACTAGTCATCTTGTCAGCCTTCCGAAAAAAGTGGGACCACATATAGCCCCTTGCAGATTGAATTAGCAGGAACCGCCCCCTGAGTAGGGCGGCCCACTTACCTTTGGTTAGCTGGAAATGAAGGAATGGATCCTTCCAGTAGGTTACATACTGTGGTGGTTTCCGTTTTCTTTTCTGTTCCTTTATTCCCGGCTAACTAAAGGTAAGCCCAATCCCAAGAGCTACAGCCCAGGATAGAGGCGACAGAGGTTCAGACAGAGGCGACAGAGGGAGAAGAGACTTCGACAGACCCGGAGGCAAGGAGACTTCAAGAGTTTCAAGGGGCCCTACGGCTGATACTAAGAGAATCCTGCATGACCCCAAGCACCTCATACCTTGGGAATGATGGTACTAAAGTATACTAAGAGTCTGCAGGATTTTTATGTGTCCATCTTAAGCCCTAGAGTCATTCTAAGCCGCACTCTAAACGCTAAACCATGTTGTAAGGGCTCAGAGATTTACCTAGACCCCCCAAGTACCCTCTATAGACCCTAGGTATCCCCAAATAGAAGCTACATAGACCCTATTTTAGGGTACTTGGGGGGTCTAGGTAGGTTTTGGCGTTTTGGACCTTAGAGTTTTGGGGCTTTCTGGGCACAGGGATGACGACGCACAACCGGGACCCTACTGGCAAACTACTGCCCATGCGAAAGACCTGCTTGTATGGGGTTGCATGTTAGGGAGTGCATGTAGCAACAATCCCTGAGGGTCCAAGGACCCAATAATGATATACTTACTCAAAACTTGTACTATAATTACTATTACCAATATCCCAAGTACCTAAATATTGGGTACATGAACCCTTAGGGAATAGCATCAAAGTGTAGAATCAGAGGGGGTCGATGGAATCAGGCTTCCAGATGAGCTATCATCGACTGTAGTCCTTCTTGTGGCACCAAATACGAGGTTCCCCAGTAGTAACCTTTTTCTCCCTTCTTACTTTAGGGTCTCCTTATAAGATCTGAACATAGGACAAGGGGTACCCTTATTGAGGATGGGCTACTGGGGAACCTAGAGTAAGAGCCAACATCAAAGGTGCTTGAAAGTAAGTCTTGTCCGGTTCTCAGGAAGAGGAGCATCAGAGTCTAGAAGAAGGTCTATCCCCGGAGTTAAAGGTTGCATGCATTTTTCAAACTTTCGCAAGTTCCCCTCGCAACTTGGCTACATCCTCCCTATGTAGGAGTGCACATGCGAGGTGATTATTGTAGCAGCCTAAACTAAGCTAAAGTGCAAGTCTTATCCATGCATAGTGCTTCCACATTACCTAAACCCCGCATTCTCCCGGCCCCTGCCTCAGAATCACTATACCACCTCCTATGGAACCCTAGTGTCCATTTCATGTCCAGTTTCTCCTCCGTTTGCTTCTCCCCTGATTCATCAGGCCCCTAAACCCAGTATTGTGGTGGATTTTCAAAATACTTTGATTCGTTATGACTCTTAATCCCTATATAACCCCTACCAAGCTTTTGACAAAAGCTATAGGGCCTTCAAACCCGCCCTAGTCTTGGGGGGCGGGGTATGTGACAAACAAGACCTTGCTAGGCGACAGAGGCGGTGGCCGAGACTACGAGCGACCTAGGGACTTTGACAGACGCTTACCTCACCATGAGTTTATAGTTTTAGGGTTGAGGGTTTAGGGTTAAGGGTTTGGCGTTTACCTCACTATGGGTTTAGGGTTTTAGGGCTGAGGAAGGGTTTGGGGCTTGGGGCTTACCTCACTATGAGTTGAGGGTTTTTGGCCTTTAGGGACACTACACCCAGTCGAGTCGATCCAGGCTTGTGGCAAAACGGGTGTAGCGTTTAGGGATCTCCCCCGAGATTTCCCTTCCCCATACCACGAAGTTTGAATATACGCCTTGTAGTAGACTTCTACTTTGTATTGGGAAATTTTGATGTTGGCGGGTGGTTTGAAAATGAGAGCGGTGTATGTTTGGGTTCGGCGTGTAGGCTGGAGGGTTCCAGGCTTCGGGTTTAGTGCGTAGGGCTGAGCATTTGGGATTTTAGGATTTTGTATTTCTGGTATTGCCAGCATTATCCTTATGCTTCCCTGAGGCCCAGAAAAAGGGTCTGAATGGCCCTTATGTGGACCTCATTTTGGCCTCGTTTCAGGCTGGGCGGTCTTAGAGTGGGCATAGACCCTAAACCCTAAACCCTAATGGGGAACTCCATTAAATCTAAGGAGGAGATAGAGGCCGGGGCTACGACGATCGAGGGCCCGACCGAAGAGGAGATGGTGGGAAAGGGCAAGACTTCGGAGGAAAGGGTGGATATGGCCAGAGTCTCAGGTTGGGGATTTAGGTTCAGGGGCTTAAGGTTTAGGATTTGGGGTTTGGGATTTAGGCTTAAGGAGTTAACGGTTTGGGATTTCGGATTTAGGGCCTAGGGTTTGGAATTTGGGCTTTTGGATTTGGGGTGAGGTTTTGGGATTGGGGATTGGGGCTTTGGCCTGATGATTTAGGCTTTAGGGCTCATAGGCTTATAGGGCTTTGGGGTCAGCATTTCCTGGAAGTTGCGCTACACCGCAGTTGAAGAACAGATACACCTCAACTGCTGCTTGGATGTAATATGAGATGTGGCATTGTTCCCTGATTAAGGGGGATTTGGCTCACCAAAATATTCTGGTTCCTCTTAGCTACCGCTAGTATAATGCGTTTAGCAATCTCAAGATCAGTTCGATGCGGGTTTTCAATATCTCTATTGCCAGGACCCCCTGCTGTTTTGGAAACCTGTTTTTGTTTGCGTGATGCAACTCATCTCCTGCCCCAATTTAAAAGCCCCACCCCGCTAAGAATGAATATTCCAAATGCGGCTTATTGTATGTCAGGAATGTTTAATATCAGGTGGCGTTTTTTAAGATGAGGGGGAGGTTCTGCATTAGGGTTTATAGGGCTTACGGATTAGGGATGTTGATGTATTTGGCTGCGTTGCTGCACTGCAGTCATTGGACGCCGGGGTGGTCCATGTACAGTGGGGACAACATGCCTGGGTGGAAGATCCAAGCATTTTCAGAAATGAGGGCTCCCCCTTACTTGCCCTGGAGCTTCACAATCCTCATGATGGGGCTCCGGCTTAAAGGGGCCCATTGTGCTCCAAGTGCGGCAACGTCTTGTTCTCTAACTGCATGTGCTCCCAGACCCAAATCCAATTATTTGGACCCTTGCATTCTGTCATGAAATTCACTCTCTGGGCTGCGCAGGTACATTTTGCACAGTTTGCTTGCATCTGAAATTCAGCTACCCCTAGGCTGCAAGTTCACCTGTGTCTAGCAAGGAATGAAGGCAAGATCCTTCAAATAGTCCGTACGTAAGCCCCAATATTACGGTAGTTTCCACTTCCTTTTCCATTCCTTCATTCCCAGCGAACGAGACGTAAAGAAACCAGGAACCTTATAAACCCTAAGTTCCCCAACAACCCCCCAGTTTCCATGTCATCTTCTATTTCTTGTCCATTTGATTCTCGCTTTTTGGGGCTGAGGTCGGGGAATTCCCCTCCCAGAGCCCGTTGAGCTGCAGCTGAAGAATCTGCCTCTCGATGCCACGGAATCATAGCTGAATAGTTGGCAGCTTCCGGCCCTGAGGGTCAAATTCATGCTAAACAACATATAGCAACTATTATTATAAAGTGCCCCAGGTATATGGTTATTGTTTACTGCAGCTTTACGCCAGTGGTTTCCCGAAATCTTGCATTCAGCTTTTTGAGGATTCAGGGCCCCCATAAACAACCAAGCTATCACAATGTTCTGACGCATCCCTTGCGCTCTTGAAGAAAGTCCCAATTCGGGGCCTGCATGTGCACCGAATACTTTTCGAGAAGGCTCCCCCAACAATGGTGCTAGAAACAAACCATGTTGGCATAATTTGTTGCCTTATCTGGACTACGTAGGCTGTTGCAGAAATCCTGTTGAGTATAACCTTGCTGGTTGTCGGTAGGGAACGCAAGAAGTGATCCCTAAAGTAGTGGGCGACAACAAATAGAGATCGTACACCATATCTGCTAGCTTTCAGTCCGTCTGCTTGCTTTTCAGAATGATTTCCAGATTCCATTCCCTACTACCCACCAGCAAGATACTGGGACTAGGAAAGGGACACCGCCACAACACGCACATTCCTTCTGCAATCCGATGTCGAAATAATTTCGGCCCTTACACCCAAGTTTCTGCGTATAGTCCCCCTTAAGCAGATAGAATCCGGAGTATATTTGGGATCATATTCTAATATACCCAAAGCCATATTCTATCTACTTAATGGGGACTAGAATCCCCTAACGCTACTGACCCCAAAACCGTTCTAGCTTCTAATCCCTGCGTCTGATATCCGTAAACCCTTAAACCTTGAAACCTTAAGCTTAGGAGGGTTTAGGCTTTAGGGTTTAGGGTTTGGGTTAACCTTAGGAGGAGCCCCACCCTGTAATATTGGTATAGTAGGAACATAAGAGGACCCTAATATAGTTACTACTATCCCAGATAGTCACTATTACAGGATGGGGGGGTCCTCCTAACCTTAACCCCGAAACCCCAGAAGTAAAATCCTCCAGCACGCAAATGAGAACAGGGGCGCCTTGGGAAACAAGAACCCCAAAAACTCAAAACAGAACACCCTCAGTCCCACATGAAGAAGATCCAGTTGCCTATGGTTTGCTTGGCTGCCCAGGCCAATGATCACTGAAAAACATTTGAAAACTGTTGGGTGTACTGTTGTTTTCCAACTTTAGCGCTGATGTTGATGTTCTCGTTTTTGGTGAAGGCGCTGTCATTTTCCAAGCAAGCCGAGTCCAAAGAGGTCCTGAAGTCAGCTAAGTTAATATAGATTCGCTACTCAGTTTCCAGGCTGCGCTGGAGGAAATCTTGCACTACCTTTCCCTAGAAGCCCAGATACCTATATATTGGGTTCATGCCCTTAAGTCCCTATATACATGTACACTATCTATAACCCAAGGACTTACTATATGGGTACCTGGGCTTCTAGGGTTTTCTGCCTGATACCATCTTACAGCCCGATACTTACAGTAGTGTGGGGATCCAGCGTGGTGCAAAAGTTCCTTCATCCACTGCAGGATCTTCAGGTAACACAGTAAATTGGGAAACTTTTTGGTGTGTGCGGGCTGTTGTGATAAGAAACCTTAAGTGAAGTTACCATGATTTGAACACATGGTAAAACAAAGTGTCGTTGCAATGATATCTGAAAGAAGTTGCTTCAGACAAACTCGACAGTGTGCTGAGGAAGCAGCTCTTAGGAGCCTCTTCATGGGGAAGGCCGCCAACGCTTGTAGATTTTAAGGTTTAGGGTTGAAGGTGTAGGGTTTGAGGCGTAAGGCTTAGGGTTTGAGGTGAAGGGTTTACAGGTTCTGGGTGGAGAGGGCTCAGGGTAGGTTCATACCCGGTGTGTATGTCCTTACCTAAGGCCGAATAAAGCTTACATTTGGGAAATTACCGGCCTGAGATTTCTTTAGATCTCTACCGCACCTTACTGTTCAGCAGTGACAGAGGGGATGCAGCTCATTATGTGGAAAAGCAATGTCAAACAATTGATTGGCAGTCTCCCAGTTACCCGTTTGTCGTTGAATGTCGTTGATATCGAGGGATACCCCCACTTGACCAATATGGCAGATTGCCTTTACCCAGATGTATCGGGAGACCCGTGCTATATCTGGTGGTTGCTAATTCGAAGTGGGAAGCCCCCGAAATTCTGAATTCTGTTCCGTAAAACAGCATTTTACTCCAGACTCTTCACTCGGCAGGGTCTGACGTTCGACTCCGTGGAGTTCCAAGTCACGGCCAACATGCGGCTGGGATAGTTTGGAAACCTTTCATTTGTTCGGCTTCGCCACCTGCATCCTTGCATAGTCCAGTCTTAACCTCAAACCTAACCCCCAAACCCCACACTATTCGACCCTAAGCCCCTTAACTGAAAACCCAAAACCCTAAGCCTTCCACCCCTAAGCCTTCCACCCTGAACCCCAAACCCTAAACCCTAAATCGTGAACTCTGAAACCCGGATGAGGAGAGTCTCTTCTCAGTCGCAGGCTGAGAAGGCGCAAGGGATCCCTGCCCTTCAGTTACTTCCCTAGAGGCTCCAAGGACCCAAATGATAGGGTTTGGGGGCCCAACTATTATACTATTACCGGTATTGGGCCCTAACAGCCTATTATTTGGGTACCTGGACCCTCAGGGTTCCTAGGATCCTCTACGACCGCGCTAACACCGTTGGTTTGAAGCTTGTTTGGGCTTGACTTGGGGTGGGGAGTGTTGAGGTGGGGACCATAAAGGATCCTATGGTTATTACCATATGGAAGGAATGGCCTCACATTCAGTCCCATTTTCTGCTAAGTCAGCAGGCAGTGGCAGTATCAGAAGTATCTCTGCGTTCATTCTGTTTTTTGTCCCTCTTGGTTTTTCAGATGTCCACCTCAGAATGTAACAGTTGACCTCGTGTAAGGTCATGCGCACTTTCTAGGAACAACAACGCTCCTAGAGCCTCGAGCGTTGTATTGAAAGCGCATCGGTCAAGTTTTACGTTGCAAGCATATGGGGATTGGTTTAAATTCCCTATAATACGGGGTCCTATATTTGGGTTCCCATTAGAATACGGGGCCCTCTATAAATTTCCCCCATTTTGGGAACAGTAATTTAGGGAAACTACCATATACTATCATCCTCAGTGCGTGGACTGTGCTCAAAATGGGTCTTTCGCTTGCACCTCTGGCATTGCAGGCTAGTTGTTTGGAACCATGTTAATACATGGTCCTATAAGTATAATACTGTTCTGGTCGTTTTGTCTAACCCTAAACCCTAAACCCTTTTGGGGATCCATGTCAGACATCACTGAAGAGCTCCTGTGCATAGCCACTACGCATCTGGCGCACTGAGGGTCCAGACCCCAAATCCTAAAAGCTTCACCCTCAAACCCTTAACCCTTAAACCCTAAGCGCTTAAACCCTAAGCCCTTAAACCCTAAACCCTGAACCCTAAGCCCTTAAACCCTAAACTCTGAACCCTAAACCCTTCAACATGAGCAGCTCAGCCCAGGCAGACATCTTTTCATACAGCACTGCCATCAGCGCCTGCGAAAAGAGACAGGAGTGGTAAGGGCTTATGGGTTTAGGGTCTAGGATTAAGGGTTTAGGGCTTAGGATTAATGGTGTAGGGTTTAGGATTTAGGGTGTAGGGGTGGTTAGACTTCAGGGTCAGGGAATGAGGTTTACTCCCAGTAACAATGTATAGCCCCCCTTCAAGTAGATAGGATGTGGGGTATATGGGGATCTTATTAAACGATACCCAAAGCCATATTCTTTCTACTTAAGGGGGATAAGAAACTACTATAATGAACACATCATCAAATATTCATGCAAGTATAAAAAGCTGAGCTTGGTGCTACCTGGGGCTAAGGGTCCGGCTTGGGCTACCTGCTTGGTTCTGTAAATCCGTTAGGGTTTAGGGTGTAGGACCCCGGATTACGTTAAAGTGTGGCCCAAAAGCATAATAAAGGCAAGAAGAAGCTTAGAATACATTTGTTTAACCCAAGTTTCCCATATACTGTCTGTATTTCTCAGAAGAATCTGGACATGGTCGAAGAAGGACACTCAGAATGCTCTCGTATTCCTCCAAGCGTACTCACAGGCCCATCTTTTGGAGAATCCATACAAGCTTCATGGTTTAGAGTTCAGGGTTAAGGGTTTTGGGTTTAGAGTACTGTGACCCCAATCCCTAAACTCAATGCCGCAGGAATGGGAAATGGCTCTCCATCTCTTCAGCAAGGATCACCTGGCTTTTTCGAGAATAGGGGTGTCCCTTGAAAGGTTAAAAGGGTTATGTAGCGATGTATACTGCTCAGCGTTTAGGATGTCCAAAGCTTAGGGTGAGATTTTTGGGGTGACTTTATTGAAAAAAAGAATTACAGCGTGTGCGGGTAGGAGGATTAAAGCATGGGGGGTTCAACGGCGGCCCTTACTCTTGAACCCTCGCTTGGGAACCCTTGTGCGCCATGTAACTATAGTAACTTACGCTCCATAAACGACCATCAAGGAGGTTCTGCAAATAGCCATGCCCCGAAATCGATACTGCGAAGAGTGCTATCCTCCTTAGGGGGCCAATGTGGGAGCTAAATGTTCCCTTGGGGTCGGGTTATTGTCCTACACAGCAAGACAGCTCGCCGTGACATCTACCTTCTACATGCATGTGAGGGTTTTTTTTCTAGGGGTGTCCTGAACTGACTGTTACTTCTTGGTTCTGATAGCTGTCCCAGTTAACAGCTCCAATTTTGGGTACTGCCCCACTCTGTAACATCTGGTTAATCTTTACAACATAGTTAGGTAACGCCCTTCATATGACCCCTAATCATCCCTAATATTAATTGGGTGCATAAGCCCCTAAACCCGAAAGCCGGTTTAGCAGGCTACGCCAGATACACACCTAGAATAATAAGGGGAGCTTGGTAACTCCAACCCCCAAAATTAGGACCCCATAGCCATCATATGATAGTCATAGGGGGTTGTGGTTACCAAAGTCCTTTTATTACAGAAACATTTTGTGTGGGCAGCTGTCCAAACTTAGATCTGCAGTGTCAAACTACTCAGGAGCCCCAAGGGTTTAGAATTCAGGGTCCTACGTGCCTTTCCAGTGAATGTGGTAGCTTAACAAAAAGGGGGAACCCCAATATACACTGAAAATTCCTAAAACCCTTGGTTCCGGTTTCTTAATATGAAACCAAAAGGGTAGCCCATTTTGGGAAACCTGGGTCCCTATAGACCCGTATTTCATCCCAGTCTATTGTCAATTTTCTTTTCCATTTGACTTTCCATTATCCGGGGTCATTGTCGGCTACAAGCAATCAAAATCGTATTCTACAAGACTTACCCCAGCTCAAAACCCTAAATCCAAAACCCTTATCCCCAGCATTAAAAAAAGGAAGCCACAGGCCCAACGCTCCAAACAGCCCCCTCCCCGCGCTGTTGAGGGCTTGGGATTCAGGGTTGGAGGTTCAGATCTTTTGGGTTTAGGTTTTAGGATTTAGGGTTTAGGGTTCAGGGTTTAGGAGTCAAGCCCACTTCACTCGTAATCTCTGAGCCCCAAACTCCCAAACCCCAATCCTGAGAGCTCCCCATCCAACCCCAGGGTTCAGGGCTTAGGGTTTTTGTCGTAGTTTTTTCTTGGAACAAGGCGGTCACTTCCTACTTAGGCCTGAAGGGCAATACCCCCATATTATGAGGGCGAAAAAAACACTACTTAGATTATAATCTATTGGAAAAGGACATTAGAAAATGATGTGGAAACCGGGTGTATGAGGTACCCCATACCATACGATAATTATAGACAAAATTCAAGAACTGTAAAGAAGAAGGCTGGTTATTTGGGCTCCTTCATCAAAGTTTAAAAGGCGGAAGACGCGTGGCTTCAGTGCCGCTTGCCTCTATATACGCAGCGACATTGGGTTCAGGGTCCAGAGGTGCCTAGTGGTGATTTTTGAATTTCTGTTAATTTTTTTTCACCAATTCCCAATATATTCCCTATGAAGCCATAGAAATTCAATTACTTACAGAGCCCCCAAATGGTTGTTTCCCAAATCCCAACATAGACCCCAATGTACTAAATACTCCTTGTTATGGAGACCCCCAAAAAGGTCAAACTCTAAATTTTAAACCCTAAGCCCCAGGAAACCCTAAACCCTAAACAATTTTAGGAAACCCCCAAATCAACCTTAGTTCAGGGTCTAGTGTTGGGAGCCCATCAATCTGGGTTGCTGTTACGGAAATTAAGTTACCACAATGGGTATATAGGGTGTGTATATACATATATATATATATATGAATACAGGAGATTTAGGGTTTAGGGTTACCATGATGGGTGTTTATAGTAAATAATCGAGTTTCCCTAATATAGTAACTTAGTTTAAGTTCCTTTTTAAAGGCGACACGTTTTTCGCTTGCTTTCATTGAGCGTAAAGGGGCGTTCGTGCAGGCCGCGCGGAAACTTTCTGTTTTCTCGTCGTGCCCTGTTTGCAAGGTGCAGGTGCCGGCGGACGTGCGTCAGCAGCTGCTGAACGCCCTTGCGCAGTCCTGGCGCCTGGAGCGGCCGCGGCAATGCCCAACTGATCATGCGTGAGGCTCTCTGTAGCTGTATCGAAGCACTCATCCTCATGGGCAATTTGGACACAGTTAGATCTATACATGTCGGAATACGCTTGCAGCATTTGGCGATCAGTGATTCTATTAACTTGTTCTCCTCTGGGGGGGTCTAGACCGAATCTGTCAAAGCTCGAGCCTTACTTCGCCAGTTCTCAGTTATAAGCTTTTATGACGGCAGCTACGATCAGATTTTCTTTCTGCTTCGATAAATGTGCATGTGCTTGCGATCGCACAGTCAGGTCGTCCAGACATGCCGTGGATCGCCTGGCTTGACACATGGGAGGCAGAGCAAATGGAGGGCATGCCAACAGTCAAAAGAGCATGACAATGACCGTGAAGTTAAGCTGGATGACGGCGGAAGAGGTCATTGGGCAGACGCAGATTGGCTGGACAGGCACAAAACCTTCAGCAGAGTTGCACCTAAAAATCACGACATGCTACCTTGGACAGGATTTCAACTTTGAAGTCCACTGGACCCAGGCCACGGACGTCCACGAAGACAGACTTGCATCATGGTGTTAACATCGACTGCGTGACAGGAGCCGCCAGTCTTCCCCTGGGGCTCGTGCGAACCAGAGTGCTCACATCGCAAAATTTCAAAACACATGTAGTAAACATGCGCACGACTACTTAGCGACCTGACTGGGGCCAGAGCGCGATCCTCCCGAACCAGAAGAACGGCCAGAAGAAGAGCCTATCAACTGGGCATGCTTCTCAGTGAATTTCTTTCAACAATACGAATAACAGACGTTGAAAGCAGCAGCTTATACCTTGAAAATTGTTGCCTCAGGTCGATCTGGATCTGGACGACGATGAAGTCTATATAGCGTGAGGTTGCCGCAGTGGCGCGCGCGTAAGCCGGCATCCAAAAAAAGCTGCGTGCAGGGGTAACAAACAGAGGCGGTCTGCTG